TTTTTGATCAAAATTTGAAACTCAATTAATTTTGTAAATTTTATTAAATCTTTATTGCATCCAATGTAGTAAATAATCTTAAACCTATTAATATTTGATATTATGATAATATAACTGGTATGTCACTTTTTTATTTTGCAGGAGACACATTTTTTAAAATAAAAAAAACAATTCAAGATTTTTTATAAAATAAATAAATATAAAAATTTTAAATTTTAAATTTACTAAATATTATTGATGATGAGTATGCAGATTCAGACTATTCAGAATACTCAGATGATTTCACAGATGATCATTGTTATGAGTATATGTCAGTTCAAGAACTCCAAAAAATCCAAACCCTTCAACCTCCAAAATTACCCTTAGCTCCAGTTCAGATTTTCCCTCACAAACATTCCCCTCCTATCACAGTTACAGCTTTCTTTGATACTGGTGCAGCCCAAACCATAGCAAACCCTCTTGTCTTACCCAAACACTTTTGGACCAAACAGAAAACCTTCTTCAAAACCGCTGATGAAAATGTATTTTCTACAGACTTTGTCAGCAACCCTGTTACCCTCCAAATCTTTCCAGGATGTCAAATAACTCAAAAGATTTTAGGATCTCCACTTCCCCAGAAAGACCTTGTCATTGGTTTGATCTCATAATATATAAAGGTTTAACTCAGTGAAATGGTAAAAAATTCAAAGTTATTTTAGTACCTTTTGAAAAACTTCCAACTCTTTACATAACCAAACCAGATTGTTTTTCAAGATTTCTAAACCATTCGTTCACTTTTCGTATTAGAAAATATCAGATTTCTTCAGAAATTGATCACACTTTTGAAATAACCCTGATATTTCATTTCACTTACATTCAAAAAGATGATAATGCTAACCTACAAAACTATCATTAGGCATGATTTCAGATCATTTCAAGCAAAATCAGAATGTACTTTTCAGCTAAGGTTAATTAACATCCTCTCCATGGGTTGTTAAAGCGTTTTATTGTCAAAAACGTTCACAAGTTCGTGGAAACTGCAGATTGGTAATCAATTACAAGCCTCTTAACACTTTCCTTGCAGATGATAAGTTCCATCTTCCAGATAGAAAAACTTTGTTTGCCAACCTCGCAAATGCAAAAGTTTTCTCAAAGTTTGATCTCAAAGCAGGATTTTGGCAACTAGGTATACATCCACAAGACAGATACAAAACGGCGTTTTGCATTCCTCAACACCATTTTCAGTGGACCGTAATGCCTTTTGGATTAAAAGTTGCTCCTTCACTGTTCCAGAAAGCCATGACCAAGATATTTGCTCCAATTCTTGATAATGCCTTGATTTACATCGATGATATTTTACTGTTCTCTCCTGATGCTACATCTCATGCACAGTTATTGGATAAATTCCAGCGTATTGTTCAACAGTATGGGATAATGCTTTCAGAGAAAAAGATGCTCATTGGTGTTACAGAAATTGATTTCTTAGGCATGCATCTCAAAAATGGTCAGTACATTGCTCAACCTCATATTGCTCAGTCACTTGTAGATTTCCCTGATGACAATCTCTCAAAAAAGCAGATCCAGCAATTTCTCGGCATAGTCAATTACATGAATGAATTTCTTCCAGATATTGCTCAGCTCACATATCCCCTCAGACAGATGCTCAAAAAAGAACCACCCACGTGGTCTCAGATGCAGACAAAAGCAGTACAAGCCTTGAAGATAAAAGCAAAGTCACTTCCCACTTTAAAGATTCCGTCAGATGGCAAAAGAATATTGCAGACCGATGCTAGTGAACAATTTTGGTCAGCAATCCTTTTAGAAGAAAAAGATGGAACCAGACATATCTGTGGTTACAAAAGCGGAAAATTCAAAGATTCGAAACTCCATTATCACTCTACACTAAAAGAGATTTTAGCTGTAAAGTATGGTATCCAAAGATTTGAATTTCACCTCATTGGATTTCACTTTCTCGTGGAATTAGACATGTCAGCCTTTGATCAGATGCTAAATTTCAAAAAGAAGAAAATGCCAAATGCACAGCTCCTCAGACTATCCCAGTGGTTCTCACAGTATTCCTTCACCACCGCACATATAAAAGGCAAAGACAACCTCATCCCAGACATGCTCACAAGACCTCCTTCGAAACCTCCTCCAAACACTTTGCAGGTTATTCCAGTAATTTCCATGATGTACCCTACACCTTCTTCTTCACAAGCCTCTTTCTCAAAAAACCCTCTTTTCCCTTCTTCTCAAAAACCTCACCTTGATGATGAATTTGATTTACCTGATGCATTCCTTAACCTTCCCGTGGAAAATCTTCCTCCAGAGTTACCCAGACTTCTTGCCACTCAAACCCTTGACCAAAAAGCCTCACACCTCTTGCTCAAATACCAGTCTAAAACACTCAGAAAGTTTGGAGACACCTCTTTTCAATCTCTTGGTATACACCCTGATTATCCCTTCATCCATCCCTTCAAATTCCCTGATCCTCTTTGTTTCCCAAAAGAAACAGTTTATTTTCTCTGGTATCTTTGTCACCTTTACTACATTGGTATCGAATTCCCACTTCCACAACTTAAAACCCTTCTTCACCTTTTTCAGCAGTCAACCATCTTCCCTACCAAACATCAGTTAGACCCCAGTCACCAACATCTCAAGTTTTTCTTCACCTGGTTCAGACCTATTCCTATTTGGATCCAATGGATTGAAACCTATGAGAGATATACAAAAGTTCTTCCTGATCCTCATATTGTTTTAATCTTTCACAGATCTTGCAGCAGTTTGACCAAAGACCCCCAGTACTTCCCCTATGCAGCAATTTACAGCTCTCAAGGATATTCACTGTTTGATTCCCAGTTTGATCATCCAGTTGAATACACTGAATTTCAGCGACAAATTTGTGAAATGAATCAGAAGTTTCCAAAGCAGAATTGGCCAGAGCTCCAAGATGAAGTTCCATGGGGAAACTATCCTTCAGAGTACAATTACCAACTCAAAATTGACAAAAAGATTTATGAAACCCGCTTTGATGGTGCATGGACAGAACCTCTTTCTGAAACAACCAGATTTGAACTTGACCATGCAGGCCCAGTAGAATGGAATCCTTATTGGAAACCTCCTGAAGTTCTCCCACAAATGGAATGGCAACAAGATTCTCAAGACCCACTTGATGATTTTGATCCAGATCAATGGTTAGTCAATATCGGCTATGATTTCACACCAGGCGCAGATAACTCACACCTCAATCTCTCTCCAGAACACACCCAACGTTCTCTCAAATGATGGTGCTACAAACCAGAAGATTCCCAGTTCCAGTCCAAATATTGTATAATTATGCGTGATGTTCCAGAAGACTCCAAAGAAGTTGATCATGATGCCTTCACATCAAGACAACCTTATGTCAAGTCTTCTTTAGCTTTATGTCTTAGTCAAGTCATAATGTATTATTGTTTTTTAGTATGAGTCATAGTGATGAGTCACCGTACCATAAGTGATGAGTCACTATATGAGTCACTATATCATAATGAACCTTTGTACCATAAGTCATGAGTCATTGTACCTTAGTTATGACTCATTGTCCTTTAGTCTTATCCTAAGTCACTTGTAAAGTTACTTTGTCCTAGTCTTGTCTTATTAGGCTACTAGTCCTTTACTTTTTCATGTATAAATAGCATGCTACTTCTCTAGGAAGTAAGCATAAAAAATCATCCAAAAAATCCCTTGTAACAAAAACCTTTCTTTATAAAAATATGTTTAGCTAAAAACCTCTCTTTCTTTTGGTGATTCCATCTTTCCTTTTTCCATCGTTACATCTTTTAGCTTCATCCATTTCTTCCACCTATTCAAAAGTTTGCAGTGATACAAGTTAAGTATGCTCTGCAGTTGCCATATTATTATGGATCCTCTGCAACAGAAAATCTTGTTAATCTGTTAAACAGATCATTGATCCTTTCCCTCAGCTAAAGAAAAGTCATACCTCCCCAAGATCATACTAATAGTCAGTTACCTTAGTGAAAGACATATCTCCATAAAAGTCAGGCCCCCAGTTCGACGTTAAGCCAGGAAGGCGCCAGAGTCTTGAACACCGGCTAAAATACCTTGGTTATATGTCTGATCTATGAAAAGCTTATGGTTGGTATTATCTTGCCAAGTTTTGATCGATCTCACGCTGTTGTCATAGTACCAGATAGTATTGTCAGGACTCTACCATCCGGAGAGTCCGAAACTGAAGCCGTGTCAGTTGTCAGAGCCTTGACCGTACTACCTGCCGCTGTGTGTAGAAATGGTATCAGAGCAATCCGGGTTGATAATGATAGAAATTAATATATAAGATTGGTTACGTTTTGTTTTATATAGTGTCAACGTCATTTGTCATTGTCCAATCAACATCTTTCATAAACATATGAAATGGTTTATGTCAACAAACAATAAATTCGTGGAAAAATGTTGCAATTGTATGTCACTGTTTTTACGTACAGTCATTTTCATTAAGAATATGCCGTGTCCTGTGGATTGTTACAAAGTATTTTTTTAATATGAATTTTCTTTATTTCAATAATTAAAATAATAATAAAATATATAACGTATGGATAAATTTTTATTTAAAAAAACTTTTTTTTTACTGAAATCTGAAATATTTTACGACTATGAAGTAAACCAATCTGATTTTAAAATTCGTAATTATAATTAAATATGAAATAGTTTGATATATGAGTCTGTGTTCAATTTTTAAAATGGAAATGGATGTTTCAAATTTCAATCACTCGCAGAAAGAAACACGCCGAACCCATTAACACGCCGAACCCCTTTGACGCGCTAGAAGTCCACACTGTATGTGTCAATCGAACTTTTGGAAAGTGAACAATTTTGTTTGGATCCCAAAATTTCTATCCTTATGGTCATGGCCGACAGGAGGTCAGTTTAGGTACGACAGGCTTTGGGTAATGTGATGACTGATTCAATTAATCTTTGCAATCGGCTTATATATAAAGTCCTTGCGCTTTCTTCTCAATACCCAAGTCTTTAACCTTTCTCTTGAACTGATCTTCATCTAAACAATTTCCATTTGCTCATTCATTCCAAAAACCTTTTCCCCTTCTTCCCACCTTGCTGCTTTTGCCTTTTTCTAACCTGGTTTTAGTCCCCTTGTTTTGTTTTTCCTCTTTGTTTTTCTCTGATTTCCTCCTTCATTGCTACTGGATCGGAAGACGAGTCTGTTCAAGCTATTTCTTGTCTTCTCTATACCCAAAGCTTCAACCTTTCTCCTGAACTGATCTTTCTCTAAAACAATTCTTAACTTTCTGCTCAAACTCAGTTGCTCATTCATTCGGAAGACCCTTTCCCCTACTTCCCACATTGCTGCTTTTGCCTTTTTCTAACCTAGTTGTAGTCCCCTTGTTCTGTTTTTCCCCTTTGTTTATCTCTGGTTCCCTCATTCATAGCTGCTGGATCGGAAGACGAGTCTGTCCAAACCATTTCTTGTCTTTACCCATAACTGATTACATATATTGCTTGCTGTCAATTATCTTTGTTGTTGATTCCTCTCCTGTTGTCTCTGTTTTGTTCTTTTATTTGCTTTGCTGGTCTGCTTGAAACCAAGAAAAAAAACCAAAAGAATGAAAGCCATTGCTACTGGAGCTGCAGCCAATCTTTCTTCGGAGGCCGCGAAAGTCATCTTCCAAGAAATCAGTCGTCATATGAGGCATGTGATCATCTATAGGAAGAATGTTGAGAAGTTTGAGAAGAAAATGAAGATGCTGTTGGCGAAAAGAGAAAGTGTGCAGAAAGATATCGAAGCGGCAGAAAGGAACTTGAAGAAGATAAAACCGGACGTCGAGCTTTGGTGCAGAAATGTCGACAAGTTGTTCGAAGACGAGGTGAAAGTTGTGAAGGATATTCAAGACAAAGCAAAGAGCAAGGGCTTCATTGGCTTGTGCCTCAACATCAAGTCTCGCTACCGACTTAGCAGGAAAGTTAAAGAGTTTGTCGCGGCTGTGAATGAACTCCTCCAACAAGGTGAATTCAACAGCGTTTCATGCCCTGCTCCTCCGGCAGACATAGTGGTTGCAACACCTAAAGATTTTGAGGCGTTCGAATCAAGAGCGAAAGTATTTAAAGACATCATGGAGGCATTGAAAGATGGTACTACCAACTTGATAGGGGTGTATGGGATGGCTGGTGTGGGCAAAACCACGCTAGTCAAAGAAGTTTACAGACAGGCCAAAGAAGATAAGTTATTTGATTCCGTGATTATGGCAGTTGTGAATCAGACTCCTGACCTTCAAAAAATTCAAGACCAACTTGCAGATTTATTGGGTCTAAAATTAGAAGAAAAGAGTGTGGAGGCAAGAGCAGGTCGATTACGCGAAAGATTGAAGAAAGAGAAGAAGGTTCTTGTTATTTTAGATGATATTTGGAAGAAACTAGATTTGAATGATGTGGGCATTCCTTTTGGAGATGAAAATAAGGGATGCAACATATTGCTCACTTCAAGAGATCTAAATGTTCTAAGGAATGAGATGGATGCTCAAAAAAATTTTGCAATATCTGTTTTAGAAGATAAAGAAGCTTGGGACCTGTTTAAGAAAATGGCTTGAGATGATGCTGAAAGTCCTGAGTTGCGATCGACAGCAATTGAAGTAGCCAAAAAATGCGCAGGACTGCCTGTCGCCATTGCAACAGTTGCAAGGGCTTTAAGAAACAAAGGCTTATTTGAGTGGAATGATGCTTTGAGAAAACTACAAAGGCCTTCCCCAACAAACTTCAAAGAAATACCAGCACAAGTTTATTCAGCCATAGAGTTGAGTTACAACCATTTGGAAAGAGAAGAACTCAAACAGTACAAGTTTATTCAGCCATAGCTTTATATATTTATATGATCGAGTAAAAGTTTGATGGCGATTGGAACTTTTAGATATTGATTTGGTAACTATAAAAGATAAAACAATTAAAATATGAATTTAAATTTTCTATTATGTTTATGCTCCCAAAAATATTAATGAAACATTATGATATTTATTTGATAAATGATATGACTTATATATATCTTAAAATACTGATTTAAATTTATTTTAGGTCTCCTAACATATAAAAATAGACAATAAATTTTAAATGGCTTAATAAATTAATTTTACTGTTCTTTCTTTAAACTAATTTAACAAAACAAGCAAAACATAATATTAGAAAGCCATATAACGAAATCGCAATTTTACATAATTCATAGAATATGAATATTATTAAAAAATATGAATTGATAACTGCACAAATTATTCAATGACCCATTTAAATTTATTTATAAATAGTTTTATCTATTATATAGAACACTCTAGCTTTGTGTTTGTCTTTCTTTTTTCTCCTTTTGCATGTGAGAGGATAATAACAAATTAAAAAATATCGAATTTTAATATTAATTTAGAGTTTTGATAGTGAGCAAAAAAAAACTATGGCTTTGATAAGTTAATCCATAAAAAAATCAATTATCGAAAATAATGCAACAAATTTCTAGTGTAATAGATGAGAAATACCTTTAATTATGTTAATTTGTATATACATTTTAAGCACTTATTATTTTATTATTATTGTTATTACAATTATGAGTTAAATCATCCTATTCTGTAATTCAATTAGTAGTTTTTAATGCTCTTAGAATCCTTTGGTTATGCTTGTAGCTAGCTTTTCTTTTCTTCATTAATTTCATCTTTCTTAAATTTTTGTTAGGATTTGAAATTGATACTTTTGCTCTTCTTTTGTGTATCTTGTTGAGCTAGTAGTATAATTTATTTCTCCTTATTAATACAATCAAATAAATTTTTTGTAGGTGGTATTCCCTAACTTAAACGAATTGGTAATCATTGGCAGTGGATATTGGACAACGATATGGGACGATAAACGCACATTTGGTTCATTTTGTGAACTAATGTTCCTCAAAGTGAAAAATTGTGAAAGTCTTCTGAATATTTTCCCATTTCACATGATGAAAAGATTGGACAAACTTGAATATCTTGAAATAGCGAAGTGTGAATCTTTGGTAGAAGTAATTGGACTCGATCATGGACTAAATTCCACTGAATCAACCACTATGTTTATATTTCCTAAAATAAGAGACTTGTCACTTCATTGGCTACCCAAATTGAAGAATTTCTACTCTAGGTTGTATACTACAAGATGGCCAACCTTAAAACAATTGGAGGTGAGAGGATGCGACAATGTAGAGATATTAGCTAGGCAGCATCTGAACTTTCCGGAAACATTTGGAGAGAGTCAATTGGAAATTATACCTCCTAAACAACCCTTGTTTTGGGTCACTAAGGTATGAACCCCTAATATCTATATAGAATGTAAGCACTTAAGGTTTGTTGGGTATAATTTCATATTTTCAGTTTTTATTTCTTTTTAATTTTGTCTTGAACACATAGAACATGTTTGGTAAGTAATTTTGTTATATATGAAAAGAAAATACTTAAATTGTTTCATATATAATAATTCAATGCACAAAATAAAAATTTTAGAATTAATTAAAAATAATATTGTATTTATTAAATAAAATTGTATTATTTGCATAATATTATTTGATACTATTTGATAGTAATATTGAATATTACTATTTAATCATATTAGAATTTAATGTCCTTTAAATAATATTAAAATTAAATATATTAATAAATAATAAAATTAGAAAATACTAATTAAAGTAATATTAGAAAATAATAATTATATAAATATTAAATAAAATTTTTAATATTAAATTTTTAATATTTATATGAATTAATATAATTCTAAGTGATGTATTCTATACTAATATGAATCCATAATCAATTCTTGAAAATTCCATAACATTTTCTATCGATTGTTGAATTTTCAATGCTAAATTATGGATTAAAGTCTTTTTTGTACAAATAACAAAGGATTCAGATCTTCTAAAATGTTTAAAAAGTTAATCGTTGGGATTGCAAGTAAAATTTTCACATGCATAGTAAATTTCATCCGTGATCTTTAATTTTTTATTTTGATTCCACTTTCGCCATCATGCGTCTAAGCCGAAAAAAGCTTTTATTATGTAACATGCCATGTGGACATTACTTTTGCATATCATGTGATCTTATCTTTTTTCCCATTTGTTAGTGAAAAATGTAAAATATAATCAAAATGAAAATTTAAAAGGTTAGGAATCTAAATAGAATAATTCAAAAGTTAGGGGTGGGATTAAAATTAAACTAAAAATTAGAAACCATGAATGAAATTTACCGATTCAAAATCTTTGTTTTTGTTTAACGTATTTCTTATTTCAATTCTTAGGATACATTCCCCAATGTAAAAAAGTTAGTTTTGGAAGCAAACACCAAGTTGACACGTCTCTGGGAGGAAGAATACCAAGTTGGAGAAGTTTTCAGTAACCTGGAAACTCTAGAAGTGTCGAAATGTGACAAATTGAAGAATTTAGTGCCATCCTCTATGTATTTTAAAAATTTGACAAATCTGCAAGTGTCGAATTGTCACGGGTCGAGACTCAAGCTCTGAACCCGCGCGGCTCCAGGACCTGGGCATTTACCCTTCCGGCGTCTCAGATCAGCCTTCCGCCACGGTTCACACTCTTGTGAGGTATTGTCCGCTCTGGCCCCCCTGGCCTCACGATTTTGTCCTACAAAAGGCCCCTCACAAGACGGAGATGGTGTGAACCCTTTTATATCCCAGTGACCCTCCTATTATGTTCGATGTGGGATTCAGGACTCCCCCTTAAGTCCGTGACATTCTCCCACACTCAACCTCGTGACGCCCTCGTCACGGAGGCTGACCACCCTGCCTGCCTCCCTTGAGGTGCTTGGCGTGGATCGAACGGTTTAGGGCTGACTCTGATACCACTTGTCACGGGTCGAGACTCAAGCTCCGAACCCGCGCGGCTCCGGGACCCGGGCATTCACCCTTCCGACGTCCCAGATCAGCCTTCCGCCACGGTTCATACCCTTGTGAGGTATTATCCGCTCTGGCCCTCCTGGCCTCACGATTTTGTCCTACAAAAGGCGTCTCACAAGACAGAGATGGTGTGAATCCTTTTATACCCCAGTGATCCTCCTATTATGTTCGATGTGGGATTCAGGACTCCCCTTAGGTCCGTGACACGAATTGTCACGGGCTTAAGAATTTATTAACACTCTCAACGGCAAAAAGCATGGTGGTACTCACAGAAATGAGTATTACTGATTGCCAAATGATAGAAGAAATCATAGCTCGTGGAAGTGATGCTTTGATGGATGGCATCGTGTGCTCCCAACTGAAGACTTTGGAACTTGGTTGTCTTCCGAGCCTATCAAGCTTCTGCTCAGGGAATTATGCTTTTGGATTCCCTTCCTTGGAAGAGTTAATAATGAGACAGTGTCCAAAGATGGAAATTTTCACTACGGGAGGGTTGAGCACACCAATGCTGCAGGGAATACAATCAGCTGAAGGTGAATATCTCGGGCATTGGGAAGGCAACCTCAATGCCATTGTTCAACAGTTGTTTACAGAGAAGGTATGCATCAATTCTAATGATTTCCTTAATATTGTTACATTGTTTTATGTGCATGATCATATTCCACTTGAATTGCGACATTGCCCGATTGTTGGCTTTCTAACTTTCCATATTGTACATTCTGTTAATGGTTATATGACTTGTAAGAATGTTGTAACAATAGATTTTTCTGCTTTTTGGTCCCCTTAAAAAATTCATTGATTCAAATGCAGCAAGATTTACACCAGACATTTTTGCAGACATATCAGCAAGTAAGGCACAAATACAGACAGTTTGATATGTCTGCCAATGCAACTGATCACATTATAGAGTTTTAATTAAGTTAAAATTTTCTAGTTAAAACCTTTTGTTCTTATTTGGTGATTGAGAAAATGAAAAACAAAAGCAGCAGACAAGTTCTTATCATTTGCATGCTTCTTTAGTACGGTCATTCACGTGTTCTTTTTTTTTTTTTAATCAGCTAAAGAGTGGAAAGTTTTTGTAATACCCCAGCCCAAATAATAATTGGGCCAGACTAATACTAAAGCCCATGAGTTTATTAAGACAATATTTAGTAAAAGAAAAAGGACTGAAGTATTAGATGAAAGAAAACCTACCTATCGTGAAACAGAAAGGAAATAGAGTTCTTCTTCTTCTTCTTTAGGGTTAGAGAATATGAAAAATCAAGTTAGAGATTCACAATCAGAGGCTACAATCAAGTTAATCCCTTAAAGGTGAGTACATGCCCTCTTTTTATTTGAAAGAAATATCAAGTTGATTGCTATTATTTGGAGTTGAAGTTCTGAGAGAAAAATAAAAAAAAATCATGAAATCCTTCATTAATCTTGATGATCTATATGGGTAAATTATTGGGCTTTGTTTATTTCATGTTCTTAAGAGTTATTGATGATTATTGAATGGAGTTTGAAGGTTGAAAGTAAGGATTTGAGTTTTTAAAGATTGAAGGAGAAATTCTATTTTTGGATGAGATGTTGTGATCTGTAATAATGAATTAAAATAGAATTTTGTATTAATGGATAGATTATTGTTGTGATTATTATATATCATTGGAAAGCATGTTGAATCTAGTTTCTAATGAAATAAACGAAAGTCAAATTCGAGTTTTCTATGAAGAGTTGTCTAATTTTAACTTAAGGATACATAGGCTGTAAGACAGTAGCATCAGTGTTGAATTACGAAATTTTCCTTAATTTGTATACAAGGATATACAGATTAATCCATATATGTTTGGAAAGCTTATTGAGTCTACTTTCCAATGAGACAAGCGGAATTGAATTTGGAGTTTCCTGTGAATAAATATATAATTTTTATTAGAAGGTATACAGGCTGTTTGGCAGCAGTATATGACGTGGATTTCAAAAATTGTTATAATTAATCTACAAGGAATTACGATGTGTGCCATATATGTTAGAAAGCTTATCAAGTCTAGTTTCTAACACATTAAAGAGATCATAATTCCGATTTGGATATATTGAGATATGACTGTTTTAATGAAAAGAGGTCAGGCTGCCAGTATTAATTAGTTAAGTTAACCTTTTGTGTAACTTAGTTGATTTTTGTATAAATGGTCTCAAAAAGGGTTGATTAAATTTTAATCTATTGAAATGATCTTGGATAGGCCATTAATTATTTTGAGGGAAAAATTAAGTGGTGGAATCGAATGGAGGTAAGTAAAATCTCACACATTTTGCTTGTTTTCGAATCTATGTATATATATATGTTTCTAAATGAAAGAATGTTTTATTTCATTATTTTCAGTGTATGAAAATAGGATCAAGCATATGATTATTTTGTGTTTCTCTATATAAATGATGGATCATGCTTATGAATAAAATGAGAAAATGATTTATGTTTAAAGAATGATTTTATGATAGCTACGTTTTTATATCCCTGGGAAGTGAGATCATCGACACCAGAACTTAGTTCTACGACCCTGGCTAACGGGTAATAGTAGTTAGCAAAGACATGATCATACGACCCTGGCTAACGGGTAATAGTAGTTAGCGTAAGCCTTGGCTAACGGGTTATAATAGTTAGCAATGATCATGAGAATGAAATTGTCGATACGGCCAATGTCACGGGTTATAGCAGTGACCGTAGCTAACGATTTGAATGATAACGATTTGATTGATAATGATGATTTATGATAATGGTGATTTACGATGATTTTTAATAATTGATCCATGATTTAGTTTGATTATGATATTTGAATGATAGCATATTTTACAATGATTTATGAAGTGACATATTTTGACATTAATTTATGAATTTATGAAATATTTGACAAAACGATTATCTTGAAATGTTTTGATATTATGATTTGATGAATATTTTGAATGATCTATATGATGTGTAAGAAAACAATGCTTGATCTGATAAAGTGTGTGAGCCTATACTTACTGAGCTGTGGTTTGCTCATTCCCCTTTTACTTTTCTTTACAGATGACTAAGTGATAAGTTTGATTAGTCTTGTGTGAAGCTAGAAGATGAAATGGGTATGATTACTTAATCGTCGGAGAATATGTTGGCTAATGAGATTTTAAGAGGCAGTTTTGTATTTTATATGATTTGTACTTGGATATATAAAGATGTATCATCAGTTGGATTAAAGATATGAATTTTACTTGGTAGATTGTTTTATTGAAGAATTTTATAATGTTTAAGAAAAAAGGCTTCGTATTACTTTGAGATTTTCTTCAAGGTAATACGGTCGTGTTACGTCTTGATCTCGGGGCGTGACAAAAGTGGTATCAGAGCTTAAGTTACGATCTTTGGAGAATTTTAAGAGGTAGATTATGATTTGTAGATTGTGTTGAGATTTTTTTTTAAAAGCTTAAGTTATGTTTCTTGGAGATTTTTTAAGAGTTCAGGTTATGATCCTTAAACTATGTGAGATGCTAAGGAGCTTATAATATGATTTTAAGGATTTTCTAAGAACTACGATTATGATCTTTGGATATTTTTAAGAAGTTAATTTATGATAAGTAGATTAACGGTGATTTTCAAAGAATATAGTTTATGATCCTTGGATTGAAAGAGATATTCTATGAGTATGGTTACAATCTATATATTATGTAAAGATTTTTAAGAATTAGATGATGATCTTTGGATAATGTGATAATTTTTTAAGGACATAACTTTGATCCATAGACTATAGTGGTGAGTATAAGTAAATGATTCGATAAATTTTTGGAGTAGTTAAAGTTTTAATGAATTTTGAGGAATCAATGATTCAATGGATTCTTGGTGTAGTTATTTTGTTGATATTTATATATTGCTTTTGGATTTTGTAGTTAAGAGAAAGTGTAATTACTCTAATATAGTGCGATTTTATAAGTTGAAGAGATTTTTGACGCCACTTGTAATGAGATATATTTTATGAGTTAAAAGATTATTTAAGAGAACAATTTGATCGTTGGAGATCTTATGGGTTTGAGAAGAGACTTTCGACTTAATGAGATTTTGAAGTATTTGATAAGTGTAAAGTGAATCCTTTGTCAAGGATGAAGATTAGAATAGGAGTGTACATTGTTGGAATTAAAGGTATAGAATATTGGAGTTGGAATGAAATGATATGTTGAAATTTTGATGCAATTATTTATAGGTTATAATGTTGGAGAATTTATTTTGATGGATTTAGTCCAAAATGTTATAATTGTGGTAAATAGCTTTATATACGTAAAGAAGGATGTTCACTTGATTTGGTTCTACTTTTTATTAAGAAAGTATTTAAGGTTTGATCATGCGAGTTGGATGTTTGTATGATTAATTTGAAGTTTGATCATTAAATTCTTATTTAAGGTGTACTGATATTTTTAATGGCTAAAGTGATTAATTTGTGGTTATAGTTTTTAATTGAAGTACACTATTGGATTCCTTCAAATTTTATATTTATGGAGAACATGGCCTATTGTGGTATAGGGTTGTATACTTAGCAAGGAATTAAAATTGTGGTTATCTAAATGATTTAGTAAAGAAGTTGGTTTTAAAGGAGTAATCGATTTACAGAAAAATATGCATGTTTTGGTTAAAAATGATTGTTTGAAATCTTACAAGTGCAAATGATTGTTTGAATTTTACAAGGACAAAAGATTGGTCGAAATCTTACAAGTGATGATTTTGTGTACTTGGTGATGCTGAACATATATTCAATTTTAGAGAAGTTTGAAAGAACTTCTGAAATAATGTGATGCATTTGGCTATTGTTCATAATTATACTTTTGGTGTGAATTCAAGTGTTTGGAGTTCTTATTGGTTCAAACTTTATAAAAGAATTTTCTTTTATGGATTATGATGCATAGTTTTTAACTTTGACGTGAAGATGATAGCAATATATTTAGTAAAAAGAGAATGTGAGACATTATGATATTTGTAGGGGTTATGAAGAATCAATTGTTATATGATAATTGGTATATTAAAAAGAACAATATTCGAAATTGGAGACAACTTAAGTGAGCAGAGATTTATGTTTGAATTTACATGGTGTAAATTTATGGATATGATCTATTGCATTGATGTCATGTGTATTCTAGTGGTTAATTGATAGAAAATTTTATGTTGTCGGTGGAAAAGAAAAGAAAATTTAAAGTACTATGTGATATCTTTTTGGTGACAAAATGATTTGTTGATATTGTTATTAAAGGTTTTTATGGTTATGAACACATGGTGTGAAGCATATTACAAGAAATTTTGTGGACACATGCTTTTCTTGTTGCAAAATGATGTTATGAAAGTTAACTTGTTTGAATTTTATTGGAAAGAAATATCAGAGTGCGCAGTGGAAGCCTGAATTGATTTTAAGTTCTAAATTGTTGTGCTTTTATTAGTTGAGAAAGTGATGAATCTTTAACAAAAAAAAAAGAATATTGTCACCTCTGATGTTTAGTGTATATGATGAATCTATGTTAAGATAATATCTTAGCAAAAGCTTTGTGATTGGATATAAGTATTTAAAAATTCAAGATGATATGAGTTTTAACATATTGAAATATCTTTTTTTTTTTTCGAATGGTTGATCAGAAAGAACAAGTTTTGAGGCAAGATGATGATTTTTTTTTAAAGTTCAATGAAACAATCATACGGTAAGAGATAAGATTGCAAAACTAGATGAATGAGATATAGATGTAAATCAAGTTTCGAGGACGAAACTTCTTATAAGGAGGGGAGAATGTAATACCCCAGCCCAAATAATAATTGGGCTAGACTAATACTAAAGCCCATGAGTTTATTAAGATAATATTTAGTAAAAGAAAAAGGGCTGAAGTATTAGATGAAAGAAAACCTATCTATCGTGAAACAGAAAGGAAATAGAGTTCTTCTTCTTCTTCTTTAGGGTTAGAGAATATGAAAAATCAAGTTAGAGATTCACAATCAGAGGCTACAATCAAGTTAATCCCTTAAAGGTAAGTACATGACCTCTTTTTATTTGAAAGAAATATCAAGTTCATTGCTATTATTTGGAGTTGAAGTTCTGAGAGAAAAATAAAAAAAAATCATGAAATCCTTCATTAATCTTGATGATCTATATGGGTAAATTATTGGGCTTTGTTTATTTCATGTTCTTAAGAGTTATTGATGATTATTGAATGGAGTTTGAAGGTTGAAAGTAAGGATTTGAGTTTTTAAAGATTGAAGGAGAAATTCTATTTTTGGATGAGATGTTGTGATCTGTAATAATGAATTAAAATAGAATTTTGTATTAATGGATAGATTATTGTTGTGATTATTATATATCATTGGAAAGCATGTTGAATCTAGTTTCTAATGAAATAAATGAAAGTCAAATTCGAGTTTTCTATGAAGAGTTGTCTAATTTTAACTTAAGGATACATAGGCTGTAAGACAGCAGCATTAGGGTTGAATTACGAAATTTTCCTTAATTTGTATACAAGGATATACAGATTAAGCCATATATGTTTGGAAAGCTTATTGAGTCTACTTTCCAATGAGACAAGCGGAATTGAATTTGGAGTTTCCTGTGAATAAATATATAATTTTTATTAGAAGGTATACAGGCTGTTTGGCTGCAGTATATGACGTGGATTTCAAAAATTGTTATAATTAATCTACAAGGAATTACGATGTGTGCCATATATGGTTAGAAAGCTTATCAAGTCTAGTTTCTAACACATTAAAGAGATCATAATTCCGATTTGAATATATTGAGATATGACTGTTTTAATGAAAAGAGGTCAGGCTGTCAGTATTAATTAGTTAAGTTAACCTTTTGTGTAACTTAGTTGATTTTTGTATAAATGGTCTCAAAAAGGGTTGATTAAATTTTAATCTGTTGAAATGATCTTGGATAGGCCATTAATTATTTTGAGGGAAAAATTAAGTGGTGGAATCGAATGGAGGTAAGTAAAATCACACACATTTTGCTTGTTTTCGAATCTATGTATATATATGTTTCTAAATGAAAGAATGTTTTATTTCATTATTTTCAGTGTATGAAAATAGGATCAAGCATATGATTATTTTGTGTTTCTCTATATAAATGATGGATCATGCTTATGAATGAAATGAGAAAATGATTTATGTTTAAAGAATGATTTTATGATAGCTACGTTTTTATATCCCTGGAAAGTGGGATCATTGACACCAGAACTTAGTTCTACGACCCTGGCTAACGGGTAATAGTAGTTAGCAAAGACATAATTATACGACCCTGGCTAACGGGTAATAGTAGTTAGCGTAAGCCCTGGCTAACGGGTTATAATAGTTAGCAATGATCATGAGAATGAAATTGTCGATACGGCCAATGTCACGGGTTATAGCAGTGACCGTAGCTAACGATTTGAATGATAACGATTTGATTGATAATGATGATTTATGATAATGGTGATTTACGATGATTTTTAATAATTGATCCATGATTTAGTTTGATTATGATATTTGAATGATAGCATATTTTACAATGATTTATGACGTGACATATTTTGACATTAATTTATGAATTTATGAAATATTTGACAAAACGATTATCTTGAAATGTTTTGATATTATGATTTGATGAATATTTTGAATGATCTATATGATGTGTAAGAAAACAATGCTTGATCTGATAAGGTGTGTGAGCCTATACTTACTGAGCTGTGGTTTGCTCATTCCCCTTTTACTTTTCTTTACAGATGACTAAGTGATAAGTTTGATTAGTCTTGTGTGAAGCTAGAAGATGAAATGGGTATGATTACTTAATCGTCGGAGAATATGTTGGCTAATGAGATTTTAAGAGGCAGTTTTGTATTTTATATGATTTGTACTTGGATATATAAAGATGTATCATCAGTTGGATTAAAGATATGAATTTTACTTGGTAGATTGTTTTATTGAAGAATTTTAGAATGTTTAAGAAAAAAGGCTTCGTATTACTTTGAGATTTTCTTCAAGGTAATACGGCCGTGTTACGTCTTGATCTCGGGGCGTGACAGTTTTTCATGCATTAAGGAATATATATACTGTGTGCAGGTTTTTCCAAGCTTGGAGGATTTGGAACGGTCCTCAATCAACATTCAGAGAATCCGGCATAAAAAATTTCTGGCAAGAGCTGCTTCTTGTGCTCAATATTTAACTTGCTTGACCATCGAGGGGTGTCACAATTTAAACTGTCTATTTTCGTCCTCAATGATGGAAAGTTTTGTGCAACTCAAGATTCTTAACATTGAGAATTGTGAGAATATAGAAAAAGTAATCTTGATAGAGGAATTAGCCAAAGAACTGATGAGCCAAAAGTTGTTCCGTAAACTAGAATTCCTATTGCTCAAATACCTTCCCAAACTGACGAGATTCTGCCACGGAAGTTACCTTGAATTCCCCTTGTTGAGAATTGTTAGGATAGAGAGTTGTCTTACATTAGATACGTTCGTCTCTGATGCAGAAGGAAACAACTCAGAGATTGCCTGTCCAACTCTTTTCAATGAAAAGGTGATAGTGATACTCTATTACTTTGTTTTCTCTGTATCATTACTCTCTCTCCATTAATCTTACCTTAAATTCTATGCAATTATTGACACAAGCAAACAAATTTCATAGGTGGCATTCCCTTGCTTAAGAGGAATTGAGCATCATAGGTGCGGGAAACTGGAGAAAGATTATGGCATAACGAGTCAACCAACTCCGTGAGGATTCATTTTGCAAATCACTAAATCTTCTGTAGGTGTTTGATTGTAAAAGACTTGAATACTTTTTTTCATTTAAATTTGTGAGACACTTGAGGCTCAATCATGTTCCTTCAGTTGAAGTGAGAAATCAGATGGTGAGTAAGTCTTTTACTTCCATAACCTTCATTTTTTTTTCACACACACTTCGTTGTTAACCATTTACCAAATTTTATACGTTCAGAAATGAATTTTGATGCATACATATGTTGGGATCTACCCTGAATCACCTGTCAGGAGTTTAAGCCAGTCAAAGAGCACTTAGCTACCTTGTTTAAACATAGCGGCTATGGCATTCCATGACAACTTATAACCAGGGCGATACCTTGAATAGCTTTCACCTCCATTGAAGAGGTGCACCAAATGCAATTGCTTTGCAGAGTAGAATATTGTAATTATGCCCTTGGATTCCATTCCTTGGAAGAGGTTATTGAGAGAAACTGTCCAAAAATGAAAATTTTCTGCAGAGGAGATTTACCTGCTCCAAGTTTGCTGAAAGTGCAATTGCTGAAGATAAAGAGCGTTGGGATGGCAATCTAAAACACCACCATGGAACAAATTTTCAGAGCAATGGTATATGTTTATTCAGATACTTTTTTTTTCAAAATTTAAGAATTTTTTTTTTTTTTTGCTTCTACACTCTGTTAAAGCTAAATACTTGCAATTTGCTGAATTAATTATGATTGCTTCTCTATGTTCTTAGAGGTAATTGCAGACTAGTTAAATTTAATCTTTCTGAGAAGAATTCATGGATTTAGTTGATGGATAACTGTTTTTTAGCAGACAACAAAACTACATATATAGGATGGAGTAGACACACCTGCATTCTTTATCTGGTAATAAAGATTATTATTATTGAAATGAAGATTTGATGCCCATTCATAAAAGTTTACTATTCATAGTAACATTTTTACAGAATGGAAGATTATAGCCATGCAATGAGTATTAATCTGATATTTTAAATATTTTATTTAGTTGCATATTCAAAATATAATGGTTGTATATGTCACCTTGTTTATAGAATTCTCTGAAAATATGTGGTTCTTTTAACAGTGTTTGCTTTCACTTTTATCATGATGTTATGTTTACAGAATGTCCAGAATTCTATAGCAGAGGGAGGTTGTCTGACACATTTTCAAGCTGAATAAAAACAATATTTTCTATGATTTTGAGAGAAGTGCTTCGCCTCATGTTCTTTTGAGAATTAAAGGTATTCTTTTGCAAAATTTCGTTTGTCTTCTCATATTGTCACAATATCTTTATAGTTAGCGTGGTGCTTCTTTGTTTCAGGATTAATGGAGCACTCCTCTGCTCTACCACCAACCTTGTCAAAGCTGCCATATTCCTATCTCACTACCCACCAATGTTTGTTTTTAAATTTTTGCTATTTTCGAGTGATTTGGATTTTTCTGTATTGATTTCTAGGTACCTTAACAGTAGTTTGGATGTTGATCTTCTAAAAGATCTCTTTTACGACTATGTATTTTGAGACACCTTGCATGATATTAATCTTTCTTGTGTTCCTGTTATGGCTACTGTCAATACATGACTGCCATAGACTTCAAATTCTAAGTTATTATTTCCTCTGTTAATGCTTTACTGGTTCAGCCTTTGACAATGTGGATTTCTGTATGATATTTGTAATTAGTTGTTTCAACAATTCTTGTTTGCTCCTTCATTTAGTCAATCCTAGTTATTACTTCAAACCTACAATTCTAAAGAAGACTGAATATCATATTTAGCATTCTGCAGCCATATCCTTCTTTACATGTACGGGACAATTGCTCTTGGATTGGTCCTTACTGGACGATTGAAAGAATTGAAAGTAGTATATATTTTAACGGGTGGATCGATTTGTACTAAGATTTTCTAGTTTCTTAATGCTCTACATATATACTAAATGTTCCGTGCCATTTTCTTTGTTTTTCAGTTTATTATGGCGTAGATGATTCTTTTGGCAGTTTAGCTCCTCATATTGTACAGGTGAGTTTCATATATATTCTGTAATCTGAATTATTGCCAAGGGTTATTGCTTGATGTGAGACTACAATTTTTGTTTTGAAAAAACTATAGGAAGATCAACTTCCTATAGTGCCTTCATTATTTTGAATGTTTTCTGCTTTATGTTTTGGATCTTGCAGTAGATATTTTGAGTTCAATAAATTGTCTTTTGGTTTGTGGCAGTTGCTGTTGCGTTCATATAACGCCCAGATACCACTTATGGTGTTCATGGCTATAGTTTCTCTCTTATTGGCAAGTTTCTTTGGGTATCACGCTAATCGTTGTCTCACAAAGACCGCAATGAATGAGGTGAGAGCCGTTTAAACCTTGTCCATTGGTTTGTTGCCTGAATTTGCCAACCCAGCCTTGACCGAACATAAACCATGAAATAGTTGGCTGCGCAAATTGAGTTGTAGTTGAAACCATGAAACTAGAATCATATATTCTCATCTGTCTGAAAATACAGACCTTCAAGTGGCAAGACTACTTAAGCTGGCAGAAGAAATGGAGTGAAGCAAGAGCAAGTGTTGCAGCATTGAAAGCAAGCATCACCAGGATGAGTAGTGATGGAAAGCCTTCGGAGACCAAATGTAAATCCTTCTTCAGAAGGTCCCCTCTAGAGGATACCGAAGGTGTTGTAAAGAATAATGTGTATGACAACGGATTCTTTCACAATTTCTTTGAGGTCGTTTGTCCGGTTTCGACAAGAGCATCATTTTTGCAGACCAAAACAAAATTTGGCTAAGATTGCCAACTGTTAATAGCTATTCATTCACTCGGCTACCACCTCCGGTCATCATGTTGTCAGCCAGAAATTCAAGATGGATGATCAGGTTTAAATCTCCAGAGTTGCATATGGAGCAAAGTCCACTGTACAGCTTCTTCACTGGCTGTAGAGTTGTTGTTCAAGTAAAAGCATTAACGATACATCTTATTTTAATTGTAAGAACAGCATTTAGATTCCCCATTGCCATTACCTCTGCCAGTCTTGATCGAGTTTCATTATGATGGTGCAAGAATTAAATAGTATTCACTGCAGCCCATCTAATTTGATCACCTGCTTGACTTTCTGTGTAACCCAACCATCTAAGTACTTTATCCAGCTGCCTCCATTGATAGGAAATGTCTGTTAAATACTGACTCAAATTTTAATTGGAAATCAATTTGAATTTCAGTAAAATTATAAAAGTTAATACTCATTCCATATTTATAAAGCTTTATTATTTGATCACTAAAAATTATTATTTACTAATAACTTTTATCCATTAAGAATATTTATTCTTAATTATCATGTAAGTTTTAACTAATAAAATTTTACTGTAATTTAAATTGATTCTCAAATAGAATTTAAGTTAATATCAAATAAATCTTTATCTTAGACACAAATTTTACCATAACATTGACATCCAAAATACCTTTCATTCATTGATAGTGTATAGAAATATATATTCTTATAGTGGATCAAATATAAATATTTTTGTTTATATGTTCATTCAAATGCGTATCATGTTGGTCTCAATTCCAACTTCCCCTAAAACTATATATGCTCATAAATGCAATCCTTTTTGGATTGACAATAAGGCCATGACCTGAATGTGGATGCTTTAACATATTATTTCTATTCAAAATTTTTTTAATAAATTTATTAACATAAGTTAGTGACCATCATTAATCTGATTCTGATCTAAAATTTATTAGAATAGTCATTTAGATTTTCGAATAAAAAATTGATAACACGAAATTAGTTTCTCTTAAGGCTGGGAAGTGATTTCTGTTCAAATGCACTGCATATCATTGCATTGGCAAACACCATTTCATAATTTTTGTCATAGCATTTATACTAAAAAACTAGTCTTTTTCTTATGTTACATTTTAATTTTCTAATTTTTCTATTAATTTAGTATAATTTCATGAATATAGTTAGTGTTCCCTTGCTTGGAGAACCTTCATTTGTCTTCAATCAATGTTGAAAGGATATGCCACAATCGGCTTTCAAATATATCTGAGTACTACACTCAAAATCTAACAAGTTTGATTATCTAGGCTTGTGACAACTTAAAACATCTATTATCATCTTCCATGTCTAGAAGCCTAGTGCATCTTAAATGCTTTGAGATAGTTGAATGCAAATGCTTAAGAGAGGTGTTATTCACAGAGGATTTAGAAGAAGAAGGCAAAGCTATGATTTCATTTCCTCAATTAAACTCTCCAAAGATGAGGAATCTTCAACATCTCATTGGGTTTTGTTCAGAAAATTATATTATTGAATTCCCATCCTTGAAGTTTCTGGAGATAGAGCAATCTCCTCAGTTGCAGGGATTCATATATAAATCTACAATGGAGGAGAACCAACATTTCTCTCCACACTCTTTGATGAAAAGGTAGATTTATTGTTATAAAGTTCTTTGCTCTACTTGCATTCCTATTTTAATTTACCTTTATTTTCGGAACTAATTGTTCTTGTTTTCACATTACACGTAGGTTGCGTTCCCTAGTTTGGAGGGACTGAGCATTTCCTGCTTGAGAAATGATTATTGCTTTTCAACTTTACATTATTTTTCATTTTTAGGGTTGTTTATTTTCATATTATTTAATGTCATATTGCTGATAAATTTGGCTGATTTTTTTTGTTATTTTTTTAATTATCCTTCAAGTGTTTTCGATTATTATCTAATCGTTTTGAATGGATTAACTTTATATATTTATATGATCAAAATAAAAGTTTGATGGAGATTGGAACTTTTAGATATTGATTTGGTAACTATAAAAGATAAAACAATTAAAATATAAATATAAATTTTCTATTATGTTTATGCTCCCAAAAATATTAATGAAATATCAACTAAGAAGTAATCCAGCAGTAATTGAAAAAGCAGTCACGGAGACATTCAAGCAATCGAGCAATTAACAAGACATCAACAGTAAGCAATAGGCTCAATTTCTTCAGGCTATAAACAATATGATCTCAGTCTCCAAAAGCAATTTCTAGTAGCAAAACAATTGCAGCAAAGAATCGGTCAAACGAGTCTAAGCAATTTCTAGCAGTCGAAACAGACCTACCAAGCAGAAGGTAAACATTGAAGCAAATTTAGGCAACAAGCGGTCCCAAGTCTCCGTCACAGCAAGCCAACATAAGCAATTGAGACCAATACTCCTTTCCACACCCGAACCAAGTCTGCAAGTCCATCAATCAAGCAAGAACAAAATGTCAAAGAAGCAAGTCTCCAGCACACAAAAAGCAATCAGAAGCAATTAATGATCGAGGAAGAAGTAAGCAGTAACAAATTTCCAAAAAATACAGGCCAGCAACAAATTTCCAGAAGAAATCATCAGTAGGGAGGCAATTTCGGGAGGAGTTTTGAATCAACAGAAGCCGAGACTCGGTGAAGACCGATAAGGAAATTGAAACACAGGCAAAAAGCTTCAGGGCAGAAAGCCCCACAATTTTCAAAACTAGAACCACAAGCAATTGAAAGCCAGAATTTAAATTCAACCCAGGAAGAAATAGAAGAAACAATCAGCATGGTTGAAAGCATTGAAACCAACTAAACCTATAACCAATCACCTGAACCCCGTACATAAGGCACACAAAGAGAAATCGACACAATCATACACAAGGATAAATGATAAGATAAAATCATCATAATCAAAACTCAACACAGTTCGGAAGGCAAAGAATATAAAAGGAACTTTAGATTTCTTGACTTGGTGGAAGTTGGGTTCGTCAAATCAGTGTTAGACAGAAAAAGGAAAAGGAAAATTTCTTTTGCATGGTGGCGGAAAGCAGAGGAAGCAAAAGGGGTTGATTCTGGGGATTGAATTGGTGTTTTTGGGTTTCAGTGAAAAGAGCTTTTAGGATTTTTTGGGAATAGGCAGGGGAAAGCAACAAAAGGGTGGAGGCACGGTGGTGGTGGAAGGCGCTAGCTTTTGGGAAGGGTAACTCGTTAATGGGTTTGGGTTTTGTTTGTGGAGATTTGGCAAAAGCGTTTTGCCCAGCTTTTTGCTCACCGGTGAACGCCGACGGTCGATGATGGAAATAGAAGTGGGTTGCCCAATTTTGGATTGTCTGGTGACTTCTAGAGAGAAGAGCGAAGAACCAAAAATAAAGTGAGAGAAACTAAGCAGTAGAAAACGGAGGAAATTTCTGGTTTTATGGTTAACTCCAAACGGCAGCGTTTGCGGTTGCTAAGATAATTAAAATTTTGACCCGTTTTGGCTATGCGAGCAAGCCTGAGGAGGACCCGACCCATTTAACCAGGTTTTTTAATTTCTTTTTTTTTAATGATATTTTTGCAATTTTTTTTTATAATATTTATTTACATTATTTATTTTTGTATGAATTTAATTTAATTACATTTTTTTGCATGGATATATTTTTTTTTTGCATTAGTTTGATTATTTGCATAATTACCTAATATTTTATTTGTGTGATTTATTATTTATATGATTATTAATATAATTACATGATTTATTAATTATATGATTAATTATATATTTGCATGATTATTTATTAATTGCATGATTAATAATATATTTATATGATTATTTATTAATTGCAAGATTAATACTATATTTGCATGATTATTGATTATTTGCTTGATTTTTAATATATTTGCATGATTAAATATTTGCATGATATATTTACATGTTTTATTTTTTATATTTTGGTATGATTGTTGTATGATTTTATATTTCTTACATGATTGCATGATTTGATTCTTTATAGAATTTTTGTATGAAAATGTTGTGTAAATAAAGAAAAGGATTAGAATTGATTTGTTTGCATGATAAAAAAATCATCTTTGATTGAAACTTAGGTAAGATAATACATAATTAATTTGGCATCAAATTTGGGTGTAATGGGGTGCTTATACCTCCATCCACATAATTAACTCCCGAATCTTAGTTCAGTTGATGTAGACTAGAACCTATTTTTTTTAAAGATCATCCATTTAGGCTTAGGATAACCTTAAAAGGATAGATTCATATAGGTGACCAATTACATTTAAATAAAAAAAGATTTGTAGCGACTCCATGATTTTTATCTCTAATAAGTAGGTTCTCGAATTTAAACATTATGATAATCCACATACATCAAAAAAATAGCATGTAGGAAATGTTTCGAAATTGCATCCAAACTTCTTAGCTACTAGTTGTTTGGCTGTTAACTCTTTGGTTACTAGTTTCTTGATTTGTGCTAGTAGTGTGCTTGCCAGCTAGTTGTCTACTAGATGCATGGCTAGCACCAATAATAATCCTCCCCCTTCTACTTATTGTTGTAACTTTTTGCCTAAATGTTCCTCTAATAAAATTTCTAGCAACTATTTGCATTGAATTTGTGCCAAAATAAGTTGTAGTAATAGCTAGAACTCTTCTACCAACATTGGTGGTACCTCTTTTCTCTCTGACCAATATTGTTATTATTCCTTTTTTTTGTACCAATATTAGCAGTAGCTCTTCTTTTTAAACTAAAAGTACTAGTATTTCTTCCTCTACCAATATAAAAAAGAACTTTTTTTGATCTATGTATGCCTTTATTAGTGGTAGTAGTAGCTTTTCTTCTTGAACTTTTGCCTGAAGAAGGTGCATAATTTTTGTTCTAGGCAACTTATCGAAATAACTACTTAAAAGTTAGAAAATAATCTACAGATATATGTGTTATATCACAATAAATGTAAAACTATTACTTGAATATGTGTCGATAACACTTAAATATAAAAAGATTTTTAAGTTCAATTTGGTTGAAAAAATTTTAATATTTGATTTAATTTGGTGCATTTAATGGTTGTTTTTCTTGGTTAATTTCTAATAAATGAAAAATTAAGAAAATTATTTTTAAACACCGAAAATAAGACTGTTTTTATTAAAATCAATGGATAACATATAGTTAATTAGTACCGTTTTAAATGAACGCTGTGGGGTGCTAATCATTTTCCACACGTAACTGACTCCCGAACTCAAACTATTTCGCAAATCCTAAAATTATTCTTTTAATAAATTTTAATAAATTTTAAGATTTCATTAAAATGATATATTTTAATAAGTGACCAATCGCACAAAGCCAAAAAAGATTAATGGTGATTTCGTTATTTTTTATTTCGTTTTCAAATTCATCGGGCGAACACAAAACCGTTACAATAGTAACTAACTCTTTAGCTCCAGTCATGTTTGCTCTGCCAAGAATTTTTGCTATATATTTATGTTGAAAAGAAACAACCTTACAAATGTAAAGAGAACCTCTAAGTGAAGAAAATAATTTAGATTGCCCAGATCCTTAATAGAGAATCTAAAAGGCAATGCTACCAGAAAAGTCGAGAGGAAGCTACTGTTGTTGCTGTTAGTATTGATAATATCATCTACATAAATTAGCATATAAGTTAGAATTCTATCTTTTACAAAGTAAATAAGGATGTCTTAAAAATAGATTTAGTGTACCCATAAGACCATATAAAGGAGCTAAGAGCTTTGTACCAGGCTCTCGGAGCTTGTTTAAGGTCATAAATTGCTTTCTTTAGTTTACAAACATCTATAATGACGTTTGTCTCTGTCTGCAAAAACTGGAGGATACTTCATAAAGACTTTTTCTAACAAATCACCCTTACAAAAAAGCATTGTTTACATCCAATTGATTAAGAGGCCATCCATTAGTTATTGCTGTACATAAAACTAATGGAATTGTAACTGGTTTAATGACATGGCAAATGGTTTCAAAGTAATCTAAACCAATCCGTTGGTTAAAACCTTTAGCAATAAATCTAGCTTTATACCTAGAAATTGTATCATTTGAGATTCATTTAACTCGGGAAATCCATTTACAGCTTACAATTGTTCGATTAGAAGAAGGAACGAGTTGCCACGTTTGGTTTTAGAAAGTGCAACAGCGTCATCCAACATTGCTTGTTTCCAAGGAGGTTGTTTGATAGCTTTAGAGGCACAAGTTCGTTCGACAGCAATAGGTAATATATGTTAAGTACAAACAGTTGTTTACGCTTAAATATGTACATATATTATATTATGAGACCCAGTTATCATAAGATGAGTTCGAATAAGTATACAGATGGTGTTGCATTTTTCCACTCGTCTTTTCATGTCTCAACAACCCCATCAGATTAAAAGAAAAAAAACCATCAGATTATTACCACTACTACTATTATTAAAAAAAATAAAGCAACATGGGAATTAGTATTTTATTAATTTATTCTATATAAAAGTCTTCCATAAGGGTCATCTATGTACCCTTTATAAAAAATATCCCTTAAGGGATATTTATTTACCACGTGTACTTGTTTTTATTGGGGTTTTTTTAGACTTTTTTTTTGTCATTTCAGTCAAATAAATTGGGTGTTTTACTCAAACGAAATAGCAAAAACTTCTTTCACTGCTTATAGGTATCTTTTTTTTTCTTTTATATTTGATAGCTATGTTTTGATTTCATTAGGTATATTTGAACTTTAATTTCGAAGTTTTTATTTTTGAATTTTCATTTTTGCTTCAAAGAGTGTGAGTCTCTGTCAAAGAGAGCCTTCTCTTGTTTGTGATTGTTAGTTTTTTTCTTTTTTTCTTTGGTGTTTTTAAGTAAAATCTGTGACTATTTTTTGTTGTTTAAGTAAATGTAGGTTTTTTTTTTTGTTTTCTAAGGATGATTTTGTTGTTATACATTTTTATATTAAATGAAGTTTGTATTTTGTGATTTTCAAGTTTGTATATTGTTGTGAACGTATTTTTTTTAATAATTTCTCTTTATATATTCCGATGTCGAATGAAAATTAGATTGTTTTTAATAAAAATATAGTTTTGTAGAGAATAACTTGTATCTTTTTAGGAGATTTTTTTGTTTTGCATATTGTTTGAATAAAAGTTGCCATTTTTTTATTGATTTTTTATTGATTTTTTGTCTCAAAGTTGTTCAATCAGATTAGGTTTTTTTTTTTTGTGTGAATTTGTTTCTGCTTTTGGTTTAAATAATATTTTTGTGTGCAGATATTATCAATGTTGTTGGGTATTAAATTGAAAATTAGTAGGTGTTTTACTATTTTCGTGTTTGAAGTTTTTTTTGTACATGCTTTTTTTTTTCGGCATTCGATTAAATTGAAACTCTACATTGCTAGCTAGTTGATAACGATTTAATGGCGCAATTTTTCATATTTTCGTATCTCAACATCGCAATCGGATTTAACAAAAAAAAAAAAGTCATCAGATTATTACTACTACTTTTATTACTACTAAGAATTATTATTTTATTAATTTATTTTATATAAAAATCTTCCACAAGGGTCGCACGTTTCAAACCAAAACACTTATTAATTACGCTTTTTGGCCTACTAAATTGCGGCTTTTAGAATATTTAATTAATTAATGGGTATTAATCAAATTTTAGTTGCTTCAGTTATGTTCCAACATGTGTAATGTGAACGTATCTTTGTCTTGTACAGGCAAAAAATATTGTTTCCTGTGGGTAGTCATGTCAACACTTACTTCTCTTAGTTAAAAAAAAATAATTTAACCCGAATTCGACGGTTTTTAATTTGATTTCATTTTTTAAAATTAATTTTTTAAAAAAAAATCGAGTATAAGATCGAATTGAATCGGATAATATAAAAAAAAATTCAAGGTTAAATCGGGATCAAATTTTAGATAAATTTAATCTTACCTAACCTTATATATAAATTATTTTTTAATTATTTATTTAATTTTATATTTATTTATATATATTTATATATATTTAATTTTATATTTATATTAAAAAATAATATTTTATTAATTTCGGGTTGAATTAAGTTAGATACGATTTTATACAATATCATATTAGATCGAATTTACGTATAAAAAATAAAAATAATTATCGAATTAGATCAGATTTGAGTTATATATATATAAAGTTAATTCAAATTCAAGGCGAGCAAAAACTTATCGTGACCTAACTCATTATCATCACTACTCTTAGTTCTCCATTGGCATTTTCTTGGACATGTGAAAAAGCCAACATGCATGGGTCATTTGTTTTAATCAACTTAAAAATTGTGTAATTTCCTAGCAACTCTTTGATCCTAATTGCTATGAATATAACTTTGTAGCACAAAAGTAGCCCCTAACCTAAAGAATTAGTGAAAAATATTATAAGTGTTGATATTTAAATTTTAAAATTATAAATAATTATTAAAAATAATTATATAAATTAATTGAATTAAATTTTAAATTTAATTATTATTAAATTAAACTTCTAACTTAATTAC